CCCCCCCCCAGTCCAAGAATCTTTTTGTTTTGGTTTGGTTTTGTTTGGATTGGGTAAGGTTTAAGTGTGCATGTGTATGTGTGTGTTTCTTGCTGTGCTGATTGGTTTGCGGACATATATACATATTTATTCATTCCCCCCCCATTTTTAGCATTTTTTGAATGTAGTTATTTTTCCATGCGTTGTCTTTTGAGGGTTAAGGTTTTTGGTTTGTTTATTGTATGTAAATATACTAAATACTATAATTAGTAGACAAAAACTATCATACCTAAAAAAGAAATCAAAACCCTACTATATGGTGCTTACAAGAGGTATGCATTAAAAACAAATATTATAAAGATATGCATGAAATATAGACATTCAAGCTGAGATTCAAGGAAGAGAAAAAGCTAAACTATGCAAACACCAATTAAAGCAAAGGTATACTAATAATGGATAATGCTGACTTTAAGTCAAGAAGCACCATTAGTCACAAAAGAAAAGGGAAATTTTATAATGAAAAAAGGATTATCCTACCTGTAAAATATAAAACCTACATTACTATATTACTAGGTGGCACACCTAATAGTCTCATCTCAAAAAAATAAAAACACCTAAACTAAAACTTATAGAAACAAACAACTACATACTACTGGGAGGTACTTTAATACTCCCCTGAGTAACTGAAAAAAAGCAGCATACCAAAAAATTAGTAAAGAACTGAATAGCATGATTAAGAATCCTAATCCAAGTTACAGCAACAGAACACTGCAGAGAAAATAGCAGAACACATTCTATTTAACCATATAGAACATAAAAAATTGATTATCTGTTATAACATAATGCTCATTTCAACAAATTTCAAAAGACTGAAATAACAGATTATTTTCCTGGATCCTGATAATGTTGAAATACATCTTGCTCAGTGAAATAAGCCAATCCCCAAAATCCATGGAACAGATTAATTCTCAGCTAAATTCTAGCGGACCTTTAATGTCAGTGCTCCTCAGGTTATTCCTTGTAATTGAAAGGAATAGAACACTTCCAGATTCACTCTATGAAGCCAGAATCACACTTATACCAAAACCACCTAAGGACACATCAAGGAAAGAAAACCATAGACCAATACCCCTGATAAACTTCAATTCAAAAATTCATAATAAAAATTGCAAATATTATTTAACAACATATTAAGAATATTTTATATTATGACAAAGTTGGTTTTATCCCAGAGACGCAAGGATAGTTTAACATATGGAAATCAATAAATTTGATTTATCACAAAAATAGAATTAAGGACAAAAATCTCTTAGGCATCTCAGTAGATACAAAGAAGACTTTAATTAAATTTGGCACTGATTCCTGATAAAAACACTGAAGAAACTAGGGATAGAAGAAACTGACCTCAATATAAATAAAATCATAAAAGTTATATGGCCAACATTTGTAGGGCTAAAAATGATGCATGAAAGCTTATTTTCAATTTAAAAAATGAATAATAAATAATAAAAGGCAAGTCTATATTAAAATTATAAAAGATAACAAGTAAAGTTAATGAAAGGACAAAAAGGCTTTCACTCTTAAGTCACTCAATTTGTTAGAAGAAAATAAATAAACTACCAAATACAAAAACCAGGTGTCTCCTTTAATAGTAACTGGCTAATAATAAACTGTCTCTGGTTAGACTTAGAGACTTATAAAACTAATTAAGAAAAGGACGATAGTTGATAAACATACATGTGTAGATATAGTCTATGCTTTGATAACTTGAAATATGGATCAGAGACTTACCTTTAACAAGGGATAGTTGATACTTGCATCCCACATGTTGGTAAAAGGAGCTTCCAAGACAATGGCATCAACCGGGCATCCTTGAAAATAGTAAAAGAAAAAAGAAAAAAATAGTAATTCCCCTATTCAAATACCACCTTCCCTAGATAAGGGATCCTCACAGTCTTGTACATGAACTACCTGCTTCAAAATCATTTGCAAGGCTTATTAACAATGCAATTTTCTGGACCCCACACCACACTCAAGAGTCACAGTGTTGGGAGTAAGGAACAAGACTGTTCATTTTTAACAAAGTTTCTCCTCCACCCTTGAGGATTTTATGCAGATGATGGTTAAAACCACTACCTTCTTCTAAGAATACAAGATTTTTCAGGGCTTGGACAATTTAAGAAAGCAAAGCACTACAGGGAGACAGAGTATTCTGAAGTCTATTGTTTAAAATGTGCCAGAGACAGATTAGGTTGTTTTGGGCAATATCCCCCTCTGCACAATTAGAAAATGTATGGGGAAGACAGTATGTGTATGTGCATATTTATATGTTTGAAGGCACATGAGGATTATTGATCAGTGAGAATTTTCAGAGCAAATACCACTGAGAAAAGCCAAGAGAGTTTGAGCTGCCTTTCCCCTCAAATCAGCTGAAAGCACTGGTGATAGTTGACAGAATTAGAAATTAAACAGTACTTTTAGTATTCTCCACAACCAAAAGGAGAAAATGAGAGTTCAGGATCTGACAAAGGGGAAGATCCAAGAACATTTCTCAAGCTTTTGGTTGTCACCTCAAAGAACTACACACTAGGAGAGGAATAATAATGGACCAGAAATAAACCAGCTTTCATAAAGGCTTAAGCAGAGCTTCGAATCAGCTCAATCTCTGATTGGATTCAAGTAATCTGTTCATAGCACAACTGCCTTTCAGAAGAAAAGTAAATTATTTCTGGAAGAAGACAACATCACCCCAAGTCTTAAATCATCTCTATGATTATCCATAAAAATTACTAGCACTTAATAAAAAATAACTAGACATATGAAAATAAAGAAAAGGGGGTTGGAGGTGTAGCTCAGTGGTAGCATGCTTGCCTAAAATGCATGAAGCCCTAGGTTCAATCTCCAGCAAGGCAAAAGAAAAAAGAACAAAAGAAAGGGTTTAAAGTAGATAATTGAGTTTCGGAATTTTGAAACTTGATAGCATTCGGGTAATTAATATTTTCATTGATCCAATATTTTATATATGAAGCAAATTCCAATTTTTTATCTTAAAAAATATTACTTGGCCCTATTCATAAAGATTCTAATTTGTGAAACCACGTAGGATCCAGGAAACCTACATTTTTCACAAACGCACTCAGTAGATTCTGATACAAGCTATTCTCAAATCACTTTGAGACCAGGTGTAGTGGTACATGACTATCATCCCAGCAAATTGGGAGGCTGAGGCCACAAGTTTGAGGCGAGCCTCAGCAACTTAGCAAGGCCCTAATCAACTTAGCAAGATTCTGTCTCAAGATAAGAAACAAAAAGGGCTGGAGATGTGGCTCAGTGGTAAAGCACTCTAGGTTCAATCCCTGATATGAAATAAATAAATAAATTGCTTGAAGAAATATTGACATAGCTATTATATAAGAAGAACTGCAGAAACCAAGTCCTGACTATCCTTTCATAATGTTATTTTCCTCTCCTGAAATTTTAATTAACATCACTTCACAAAGAAAATTCATCTTAAGGCATTTTTAATTCTTCCCTTGGTATTAATTTTAAATTTCATAGCCCCCAGAGCAACCATTATTTTATATTAAGTAAAGAGAAGAACGTTTGTTACCTGCAAGGAACTGTCCACAAAAGGATGCCATTGGCATCTCTGTGTTCAAAGTGGACACAACAGTCTCTTGATTCTATTTCCCACCTGAAGCCAAGAAATTAATCCATGGAAACATTTTACATTACCTTTCTCTTCTAACACTTTTGCAGCATTTGTTGCAACTCTGTAAAGCAATGCATATTAGTACATATGTGAAGCAATGACTTAATAGTCAATTAAGTAACACAAAATGCAAAACATCCAGAATGAGTATTTGATGGAAGCTCTGAGCTCTCTGACACAAACCTGCACAGGATTTCAAGAGTTTCCACAAGCCCTAAATTAAAAATCCTTTTCTTTAAAACTCTCCAGGAAAGTCCAGAATGAACTTCAGTGTCCTAGATCCATGGAGCTGACAGGACCCTCCCTTGTTTTACAAACAGGCAAACTGAGATAACAAGGTCTCTAGCCATTTCTGGAGAAGAAGAGAAACCAGAAAAGAGTCCCTATCTCCTAGAGCTCAGTGCCCCTTCCACTGCTCTCGGCTGCCTTTGATGTGACCCTAAAGCCCCAAGTCCCCACCAAAGGACACATCTTCAACTCTCACTCACCCTGTGCCCAGAGAGTGGCCCCAGAGACACACAGGAGTGGCACCACATCTTGCCTTGGTCCACTCATAGACACAAATAGCATCCGCAGTCAGTCCCTCCTCTGTGGGCTTTCCCGTTGAGTCCCCAAACCCTGGCAGCAAGCAAAGGCAAGCACAATATCACCATCCCCAAAACAAGCAATCATCAAAAAAGCCTCTTGCTTATTTGGAAATCTTTGAACACTGTTCTTAACACATACCTCTATAGTCAACAGATAGAACATGAAAGCCACCATCACTCAGCACCTGGGTAACAAAGAGCTGCCATCACTTGAAACTGAAGGTATAAACAGGAAAGGCTCCTTAATAGATCCATGAACCTATTTGTGATGGTTTAATAGGTGAGGGAAATTTGTACTTTTGAAATCTAGCGTATGTCTTCAAACCTGAGGAACTCAGACTCAGTGGGAAAGATGGAAAGCAACCTCGCAGAGCAAGGTCAGACTGCCAGGGTCACACCTAACCGCCAAGGTCACACCTACCAGCTGAGTGACTTTGGCCAAGTTACTGAACTTTTAAGTGTAAAAACATTATTCTGAAAAGTAAAAAAAACATTACTTTTAGGATTATTGGAGAATTACATGGATTGCATGTTGTCTTTTTAAAGAGTTCCCTTGAGAAACAAAGACTCTACACAGTTGTAGTAGAGGCAGTCAAGCATTAAGAAGATATTTATATTAAATATGATCAGCTAAAGAATTAAATTCAATCAAAATTAGAGATCATGCGAACACATGCAACCACCACCAAGCCCCTCACAGGTAAAGATGGAAAGAATGTGAAAAAAATAATTTTGCATGAAGTGAAACACAATGACAAAGAGACATAAAAAGAATGCATTATTAATGTGCAGACAGTTTTTATTTAACCCTCATGACAGTAAGTTAGATATTATTCTCATTTTACAGATTCTTAGTAACTGAGAGCTGGGCACGGTGGCACATTCATGTAATCCCAGCAGTTCAGGAGGCTGAGGTGGGAAGATCACAAGTTCAAAGCCAGCCTCAGCAATTTAGCAAGTCCCTAGGCAACTTGACAAGACCATCTCAAAATTAAAAAATGAAAAACTCTGAGAATGTGTTTCAGTGGTTAAATGGGCTCAATCCCTAGTACCATAAAAATTAATTAATTAATTAATTAATTTAAAAACTGAGCGCTGGAGAGTTTCAGTAATTTGTTCTGTCACCCAGTTTTCAGAGGCAGATCCAAGATTCTGCCTATGTCCAAGTACTGTGCTTCCCCTCCTTCAGCACAGATGTGAGCAGCTAAACCTCACTGAGGACATTTTAAATACAAGTTGAACTAATAATTAGAAATTAAATGGAACTTTTAAATATCGATTCAAATTACATTCTCTCAAGAAAAGCTAACACACGTGGCAGCTAAGCATTCAGAGAAATGGGAATAATCATGTGTAACTTATGGCACATGTATTAAAGGACCATTTGACAATACAACTCAAGAACAACAAGAGTAGCAAGTCCTTCTCCTAAGAATTTATCTCTAGGAAAATATGCCAAAAAAGAAGGAAAAAGGGATGGGGATATAGTGCCTGCATAACGTGTGCAAAGCTTTGGATTTGATCCCCAGTCCCATTTAAAAAAAAAAAAGAAATTAAAAAAAAAACTACATGCTTAAAGTTTTCAATAGTAATACTATTTAAAATGAATTCAGAAAAACAAAATCCAACAGTAATGGAGGAGTTAAGTATACAAAGTTTGTAAATAAATAGGAAGCTTTAAATTGGTTAATTATGATAACTAAAAGCATGGAAGGATATTTACAAAACAGTATTAAAAGAGCACAACAGGGGCCCGGGGATGTGGCTCAAGCTGTACCGCGCTCGCCTGGCATGCGTGCAACCCGGGTTCGATCCTCAGCACCACATACCAACAAAGATGTTGTGTCCGCGGATAACTAAAAACTAAATATTAAAAATTCTCTCTCTCTCTCTCTCCTCTCTCTCTCTCTCTCTTTAAAAAAAAGAGCACAACATAAACTGAGATATAGATATGTAGAGACATATAGATATGTAGAGACAATCATAGTGTCATATTTCCTCTTTGTATAAAAAGAGAAATAAAGATGGGGAAATACAAATAAATGAATAGCTGCACTAAGTGATTGAAGGAACAGAATCAAGAAAGGAAGCAAGCAAGCAAGGAAGAATTTAATAAAGACTTGCTTTCTTCCAGGAGAGGTGGCACATGCCTGTAATCCTAGCAGCTTGGGAGGATAAGACAGGAGAATCGCAAGTTCAAAGCCATTCTCAGCAAAAGTGAGGTGCTAAGCAACTCAGTGAGACCCTGCTTCCAAATAAAATACAAAATAGGGCTGGGGATGTGGCTCAGGGGTTGCGTGTCCCTGAGTTTAATCCCAGGTACAAAAAAAAAAAGATTTGTTTTCTGAAAGAAAGCACCTATCCAAAGTAGAAAAGGGAAGGCTCTGGAAGCCTGGTCCTATTCAGCAATGGTGAAGGCAGCACTTGGTACACAAAAGGTGCCAGGGGAAAAGTCATACCAGCCACTGCCTTCCCCAGCCATCCTAACCATGACAGGGACTAGCCGCCTTCTTTTCGTATGTACAACTCTTCTTTCTGGGAACACTGAGGTCATGCAATTCAGCTCTGAGTGGGAGGGGAAAAAAACCCTCAATTCTGATCATCATCTGCTTCACCATATCCTAAGTACGAATAGCAAAGAGCCAATGTGGGATAGAAAGCAAACCCACAAATGAATAGATATCCTCCTGCCTCTGAAAACTGGGTGACTGAACAAATTACTGAAACTCTCCAGTGCTCAGTTGTTAATCTCACCCAGCACAACCCATTGGCAAGGGTCACCTGTGAGATGCACTGATATGGGTGGAGGTGTGGAAAGGAGTGGAGTTTCCTGACTGCACAGGGAGGGCGGGTGAAGAAGTGCTAGAGATACTGAGGCTGGCAGGATTATAGGCCTAGATCACAGGACAGATTATAGGCCAGTTTATAGGCTGGAAAGAACTGGGAGGAAGCCAGTGTGTGGGAGGAAAGACCAAGCCTCAGGGTCAATAATGGAATAGCAGCCCAGTCACCTGCAACAGAGATTACCTAACTGCAGAGGATCAACAGGCAGCTCGCTGGACCAGTTCTGAGGCAGATATGGCTAAGTGGAGAGCCAGCCATATTCCTCACACTTGGAAATGCAGGGAATGTCCCAACAAACTGGAGTGAGAAGTGAGGACAGCACAGTGCAGCCACCAGGCTACTCTGCAAAACTTTATGTAGGACTAAAGCCAGGGTTTCATGGACTTTTAAAAGAAGACATTCGGAATTTTTATTCTATACCACTTAAGAGATCCTTATACAAGGAGAAGAAATTTCCCATTTAATACATCTATCCCCTATCCTTCGGGGGGTGGGGGGGGGAGAAAAATCTAAGTGTCTTCCATCTTTTTTTTTTTTTTGAGTTGAAGGGAACGAGTGCATGAAAGTGTATGAGGTCCCAGACATCACAACTCACCCTGGGACCTCTCAGGAGATAACCAGGCTAAGGACCTAAGGAGATCTTATGACTATAGCCCAGAAGGGAATCAATGGGGATTTACAGACTGATGTTTTGAGGCCTCTTCAGGACATGGGGATATAGCTTAGTAGTAGAGCTCTGGCCTAGGATGAGCAAGGTCCTGGGTTCAATCCCCAGCACCACCAAGAAAGGGAGAAATAAAGGAAGGAAGGAAGGAAGGAAGGAAGGAAGGAAGAAAGGAAGGAAGGAAGGAAGGAAGGAAGGAAGGAAGGAAGGAGCAAACAAACTTCTGTGAGGCCTCTTCAGACATACCTTTACCAGCTCAAGTCTGTGAGCGGCTGCCCTGTAGAAGGGGTTAGGGGAAAAAAAATAAGAATTATGAATTACGATGATGAGTTCAATAAAAATCACTCAAATGCTGTTGGCATTTCATGCCATTCTTTTTTAGATTAGAGAAATAAACAACTGGGAGCAAGAGAACTGCTTCTTGGTAGCAGAGCCAGCTTAGATGTTTCAGGGAGAGTGATCAATGGCCCTGTTGTTGGACATTTCTCCACACACGCGTTGGGCGCCCAAGTCTCTCTGAGGTGAGCATCTGATGAAGTACTGATAATCCATCTCCTTTTATTTCTATGCAACTAGACTTATCTCTAGGAATACTTTTAGAAGCTAAAGGGAAGTAAGTTCCAGAAAATGACTTTTCAGAACAAGGGATGATGGAGTCAAGTTGCACTAAATTATAATTTGCCTGTAATCCCATCCCCTGTGTCATTGAACACAAGATGAGGTGAAGGAGTGAGGCTCACTGCCCTGCAAGGACAAAAGATGTTTCTTCCATAAAATGACCATATTGATTATTCTCACATTAACAAAAATGAGTCAAAAGACAGAGGATTCTTTAAAACCATTTTCTGACAGCAAGCTGAGACTCTTGGGCAGAAGCCAAGAGGCAGGTGTGGCCAACCCCAGAACCAATGACTCTAGGACAACTGGGGACAATTTCAGATTCACACAGAGGCACACACGGTAAGTATGTTCCCCGTGATCCTTCAAATAAGCACACTGCAGCACCCTGCCCAAGTTTACGCTGCACTGAACGATGTCGAAGACTGCCGAATTCCGCAGGAAACCTCAACAAATGTGATTCTGAAATGGACACATCAAGAAAGCCCCTTGAGGAAAGGCAAGTCATGAAAAAAAGACATCACCTGACAGAAAAAAAAGGGAGAAAAAAGACACAGGCAAGCTAGCCAAAAGGCAGATTCCAGGGCTTGTCACTTAGCTGGAAGTTCCCTCCAGAGATGAATGGAGACCGGTGGGCTTCAAGCCTCAGCACCCCTCCCCAGACCAAAGAGGTGCAGTCATGGCTCATATCCATCACCTAAGGTAATGAGACAGGTCCAGGGACAGCTCTGACAGTACATCAAAGGACAGCCAGTCTTCCTGGAAACGTTCTTCCTTACAAAGCAAGGTAGGGACTAGAGAGTGAGGTGAGGCATGAATATTCTAGACTAGAATTAGTCAGATGGCCCCCAATTCCTGTGGTCAGAATTCCAGATGATTTCTCCTAGGAGTCATCCTTTTAATTAACAGGGTTGATGCTAAATAAAGGACTCTCCACTGTAGTTTTCTGAAAAGTCCATTGATGTGGAAATTGATCTTCCTTTCCCTCAGAAAGCGTGCCTGACCCCTTTCCAGTCATCCATGGGTTTGTCAACCTAAATAACAATCAGAGAGAGATTCTCCAAAGAGTATTTGGAGAATATCCAGGAATAGCAGAGCACTGCCGTGGAACTATGTATGCCACAGTAAACTATGAATGTATTCAAAAAGAATGAGGCAAGGGGAAGTTCTTAAATGCAAAATCAGGAGGATTACGTAAGATATTTGGAAATGATAAGCCTTAGGTACAAGGATTAATAACAAGGGTAGCACCAGTCAGCGATTGAACAGATAGTTGCTGGGCAACTGTGTAAGGTTGTTGTAAGGTTGAAGTGGGCTTTATACCAGGCTGTGGTTTTGGCAGAGTGACCTGTGAATAATTCCTATTATCAGGTTATGGGACATAGATGCATGCAAATCTTCATAACCTTCTAGCTTTATTTATTGACTTTGTGGTTCAAACTTGACAAAAAGAACTCCATTTTGATTCTGACAACAGGTTCAAGCTATCATTTTGGATATTCTTAGGGAGTAAAGGAACCACTGCCTTCTCTGAAATCAACATCCAGATTTTGGAAGAATCATTCTTTTCTCCATCCCAGTTAAGGATCCATATTATTATTCTCATAAAACAATTTTCTAAAGAGAAGTATTTTGCCAGAACACCCTTAGATTTCAAAAAAGGAATAAAAAAATGTGTGAAGACATGCCAGCACAGTTTAAAAACTGAATCCTGCTTCACTCTCCCACAGCAACACTGAGATGCTCTTAATCTCCTTTAAAAAAAAAAAATGCAAGCAGAGGCACTGACCTATGTTCCGCACTGCCATGAAGATAAACAATAATCGGGTTCCCATCGTGAAGGGCTGCTTCATACCAGCAACAGTCCTTCCCCTTGGCGTCTTCTCCCCGACAGCTGGGGACTGTGTGCCTGAAGAGGAAGGAGGTTATCAAAAACATGTAAGAGGGAGGAATTCTCTATCCTTGCCAAAATCTGAGGCCTTCATTATGGGGCACCTGTGTGTGTGTGTGTGTGTGTGTGTGTGTGTGTGTGTGTGTGTTTATGTATTTATATTATTTATACATTCATATATTTATATTCTATTCTAGAATATTTTTAAATTTTTACATGAGTAATATATGCTCCAATTAAATTTAAAATATAATACCACAAAACATCTTATGATGAAAATCTTAACTGTCCTGACCCACTGGCCCATGAACAAAGGCAACACTTTTAACAATTTACTATTTCAATTCTCCTGAGTCTTGTACCCATTAAGCTTTCAAGACTCCAGTTCTTAGGTGCAGTCCATTGAAATAACCAAAAACAAATAGAGACAAGTAAAAGATAATAGATAATTGCCATCTGCCATTGGTTTGGCTGAAGAGAAAAAAGTTAGAGAGATTTTAAAGGAAAAATCAAGTTATGTGGGAAAGAGAACTTCAACATGAAGCCAAGCTATTCTATCCATGAAATCATGTGACCTTGTGATCATAAATACCTGTGTGGTCCTGTTCCTCCATCTTGCTAAACCAATGAAAGAACCCTAAAAATGCAAATGCTGACACATGACATGTCACAGGGGACTTGCAAAATAGATCAAGAAATGACAAAGCTTCCGTTCTCTTGATTATTAAGGGACAGGCACCACTTCCTGAGTGAGTTGGTTCTAATGAGGACAACCACCTCACCAAACCGAGGGCCAGGGCGGGAAAAGCAAACAACAGAAAGATTTCCAAATTCCGACACTGTTAGCTGACCTGTTCCCTGCAGGTTAGGAAGAAACCATGTGCACCCATATTGATTCCCAAACATTCTATGATCAGAGGTTTAAACTCAGGGAGACGCAATGTAAGACAGAGCCCTGGAAATTTGTCAGCCAAGAATAAGTAGTAGAACCAAACAAGAAAAGACTGAGATTAGCATAACAGAAAAAGGCAACAGAACATTCCTGGCTTCATCTGACAAATATTTATTACATGCCCTTCATGTACTCAGAATTAGGCTAATCGGTCAGAGCCCACCACCAAAGTCTGTCTTCTCTGCAAGCTGTGGTCTTGTAAGGAAAACAGGCATTAACCAAATAATCACACAAACATTTATTTAATTATGAGAAAAAAAAGTCTTCATGGACAAGACATGCACAGGCAGCCACCAAAGCACATACTTAAAATGGGGGCTAAGGAAAGACTTTCCTTAAAATTGTCAGTTAAAGCAAAACCCAAAAAAGATGAGTAGACAATTAGCTATGCAAAAGGAGGGCATGCCGGAAGATGAGGCAGAATGACGTGCTGGGACAAAGCGTATCCTGGGGAACTGTGGCTTGCTTGATGTGCCTGGAGCAGAAGACATAACAAGGGTGGTGTGGAGTAAGAAGAGGTACCCGGCCCACAAGCCAAGAGCAACATCTGACCTCACACTCTGAAGCAAAAATTCCTGAGAAGCAGAATTAATCAGGTCAGATTTCACTGTAAGGAGAAGGTGTTATGGAACGATTCCCAAGGAGTACCAGCCCCCACGCAGACAGGTAAGGCAGCATTGCTCCCCTTTGCCCTTCTAACAGGAAAACCTGGTCCATCAAGCATCTCAGTGTCCAATCCATGTACTCACCAGATTCCCAGCATCACTCGGGGTTCAACCCTTATGTAGAAGTTCACCGTGTGAGGAATCTTTGACTCTGGTTTCTTTAAATCCACAAGAAATGGAGCTTTGTCTGGAAAATAAAAATTATTGACTACCAGAATCAATCAAATTCCATGTCTTTTAATGACAACCCCAAAAAAAGCAAACAAACAGGAATGAGTCTTTGTAGGCAAACTGGTTTCTAAGTTGCAAGCCACTAAATGACTTGCAAAGAGTTTTATCAACTAGGGCTAGCCAGAAGAAATAAAAAAGAAATAAAACCTAAAGCTAGATTTTATAATAGCACCAGCATGGTAGCCTACAATAGAGTAAGAGAGTTTGTTCAATCCTTCTCTTTGGCTCAACCTAACAGCAGAGGAAACCATTCCTCTGATAAGGTAAGAGGGCCCAGAAGGAAACAATGAATATTCTGCCACTGAAGTAAAACCTAATCATTAGCCTAAGGCCAGAAGTGATTGAGGTATACTAGGGAGCTAGTCAGTAAGAGCTAGGACTGTTACACTGACCAATAGCACCCAGGAGTCCCTTCCTCTATCTGCTCTCTTCCTTCTCCTTTCCTCCCCCTTTTTCCTACTTCTCCAAGGGATTCTTATAAGAGAAAAAAAGAGGAAAACAGAATTCCATGAGCAGTTAGGTATCCATGTCAACAGCTAATTTGAAGACTGAGGTCGTGAACTGAAACCCCAGTCACAAGGCCCAACACAAGTGACTTTGCCTATTCCCAACAGCTTAAAGGATTTATGCTAGCCTCCAAAAATCAATACTGAAAATAGGTTTCAGACTGTTTAAATCTAGCCACAAATTTATAGTTTACAAGTCTTTTTCATTATGTTATAACATTAAGGACAGTGAGTTCTTTATTTGGGAAAAATTCATGGGAAGTATACACTTACAAAAATCAAAATAAATCAGCATGTCCATCAGAGGAGGGAAAATGTGTTCTTTTAATGGTTTACTAGTAAAGCTGTTGTACAGAGCAGCAATTTTTCCTCTGAGTGTTGAACAGGAGTGTGGAAGAGATCTGCAAGATATTGGGAAACACACAAGGTTTTCAAAGCCAGTCCAAGTTTGACTTGGTTTGTTTTTTTCTCCCATAGTTCAAATCAAACTTTAGAGACTAACATTGGGCATTCCAGGTAACTCGGCGTTTAAGCAAAATCCTTCACAGAACTACACATACTTGTCTAAGATGGGCCCTGAAGAGAAATCTAGTGAAGAAGACAGAGCCTTGTCCAGTCCCTGAAAAGGCCAGGGCATGACAGGGAAGGAGGGCAAGAGCTGACGAAGGCACCAAGGTCAGATTTGTCCTCCGTGTTGCCCCATAGAAGGCCAAAACTAGACCCCAAAGTCATTAGTAAACAAGATGCAGCCAGCTTAATAGTTTCTGTGTTCAAAATCACATCACAACGCAGCACTACACAGGTTAGCTGTTGCTCCTACTATATAAAGCAGTGAGTGACATCATTAGATCTTCTCTCTTCTGACTGAGTCTTAGGAGGAAAAAAAATCCAATGAGAGAACACCCTCTCTTCTGAGTGACATTCCTGGAGGAGAGGCACCTGTGAGAAGAGGTCTTGCACATTCTACTGTCCTCTATGACACAAACCATCAATGTGATGACTTGTCCATGGGGGTCACTAATTCCACCTCTGTCTTGAATCACATCTCTCATGAAGGTCAAGAGGTCTTCCATTTTTGACAGATGAGGGACACAGGAGGTTAATATTATTATCTGCTTCCAGTTTTTGTCCACATCGTCTATTCAATAAATCCTTTTCCTATTGTAGTCTACCAACATTAAGACTGCCCAAGGTAGTCATATTGTAAGGTTGGAAAGATAGAAAGCACTCTGTTCAACTGTCCTGATTTTTCTGCTACCCAAGAGGCAGTTTAGAAGATAAGTGTTACCTCTGCTTCACAAATGAGGAGTCTACAAAGCTAAAAGTCCTTCCCAGCCTCGCAGGCCAAGGAATGAGTCACACATCCCCAAGTCTGCCTGACCCCTATGATAACTACAGTGAGCTGTCACTCTCCTGCTGAGTTCAACTTGCCCTTCATGTAGGCAAAGTGAACCCCAGGAACAAGGCCAGCCTCTGACATAGTTCTGTTCTTAGAGACACGTCTGCACCCTTGCCCTTTCTTGGGGTCCCTACTTTCTCCCACCTTCTTTCCTCCTTGCTGTTTCTGTGTTCTCAGAAGCCCTCTGATGACAAAGTCACCAAAGAAATACCCGCTAAAATACTAATTCTCCCTCAAGTACTGAAGGGAGAAGATAGATTCCCGGTAGTTCTGAAAGAGTGGAAAAGAAATGGGCTAAGGATCGTAGATGGCTCTTCAAATACATTGCACGTGGGAAATTACCTACTCATAAAATCAGCAAGAAATAAATGAAGATGATTGTTTCACAACACTGTAAAATAACCCCCCTGAAGACAGCAGGAAAAAGAGGTCATTGTTCTGATGTTAGAGATAAGAAATCAACACCTAGGGAGACCATTTTGAGCCACAGATAAAGGCAACATGGGCACAAGGGAACACAGGTTGGCAGAGTTGTGCCTGCTCCCAGTTTGGGCTGCCTCCTGCCTGCTCTTGCCAGATTCCCTGCACTCACTGCTACCCTGCCTGTTAGTCTCCCACTAAGTTATCTTTTGAAGGTAGGCAGGGTAGTCTCCCACTAAGTTATCTTTTGAAGGTCTGCTTGGGAAGCAGAAGCAGTAGAGGGAAATGTGTTTCTTTTTTAAAGGAATAATTCATACACGACCCTTCTCTCAAATAGCTCAAGGCACATCTCTGAGAAGCACTGCGGAAAAAGAACAGAGTGACCAGATTCCTCAGAGCATCAATAATGCAAAGGCGCTTCTTTTAAGTAGGGGGTTGTCAATTTGACTTCCCCTAGATCAGTGGGGGATCAAAAGTCACCAGTGGCTAATAGACCTTATTTGAGCAGAGGATGCAGTTTCAGCTCAATCTCTGCTACCAGCTAGCCACATCAAAAAAAGCTTGGTGCCTTGGTGTTCTTTGTTTGCCCTTTGATCAATGGTGGCTATAACCGTGAAGCATCCACAGAGGCACGGCACCTAAATGGATGATTCTTACTGGTGAAACCTAGTGGAATATGAGCTGATAACATTCCTACTCAGAGGTGTCTGCAAACCAGCTTTTGGGAGCCCAAATCCAACCACATTTGGTCAAACAACTATTCCAAATACGAAGATGCTTTGCACATCCTTCCTACCTGCTGACTCATGCAGCCAACATGTGTGGATCACTGAGTACCAAGATGCATCATCCAAACCAAATTCCACCCCTACCCCTTCACACACACTCAAGTGTATCTTCTTGGTGGAAGTCTCCCAAGACAGATCTTCCCACAGTGACCTTCCCTTTCTTTCCATCCTTCCCACTAATTATAATGGGGCCTCAGTTTGACCCTACCTTGTTCTCTGATAGTTTTCTCATTATTAGCCCATCTTCCCCTCACTGTGCCAGGCATGAATCATGTGATATGTGTGCTTCTTTTACATCTCACCTGTGTAGCACAGAGCCAAGTTCAATAAATATCTGTTGAACCACAGATTGAAGGCTGAAAGGTGTATTTCTTTCATGAGCCATGATTTTTGGAGTTTTGGGGGAGAAAGGGAGGGCTTCATTCTTTTATTCTTTATTTTGAACTACAATTGAAAAGAGATCACTGAGAGTTCTAAAAGAACAAGGATATTATTATTATTATTATTATTATTTGTATATCTCATTTGTTCCTTGAACCTATGATATAGGAAAGAGCATCTCAGATAGTAGATAACCTGTGAGAAGAATGACTAGTTTATCTGCATATTACTAAGCACTCTAGAAATGTGACAACTTGGGTGACACAGGCAAATAAGGAAGAAAATAACCTTTGACCTATGCCATCTTCTTTCCTGGGAATGTTTTCCATTTTTTCCAATTTAAAGATCATTTGCAATGGAGACTTACTGTAAAGGACCAACCCACCTTCAGTAGCAATTATGTCAGATGAAATTTTTGAAAAGTAAATAAATACACTACCACCAAAAATATAATATGATTAAATGTTCTCCTTAAGCCTCTGAAAACGTGACAATAGACCTAGCACTATAAGCAGGGCCAAGCACACAGCAAATCCTCCATGAACATTTGCTGAAACTAAAAGGATTCCAGGTGCCAGAAACAGGTCTATGCCTCAGCCTTAACATGTTTTATGTTAGATCAATAATCTGTTTCAATTAAAAAAAAACACTGGTACTTTATCCTTTCAGAGATCATCTCTTGAGAGTTATTTTTTTATTAATTAGTAATATAAATCATGGGGTCCCCAACTCCCAACCTCCTACTCAATTATCAACAAAAGTAGGTTGTTCTCTAAGAGAATGAAAATGCAGCTTTGAATCTCTACCTAATCAATGCTCTGTTAGCATGGACATTAAGTAATCAGCCATTAAGTCTACGGAAAGGGAGAGGTGGCCGATGCCAGCTTTCCTAGAATAACCAAATAAGGTGGGGCAGGAAGCAGAGAGTCCTATGATTGTGAAATTTGAAAAGTACAGACAGAATATTCCAAAGGTGTCCTGGTATGGGTTCTGCATACCTCATCAGAGAGAGCCACTCTATGATAACTGCACTAAGCTAGGGAAGGAAGAGAAAAGATCCCCAGTGGTCATCATCACATTCCAAAGTGAAGTCTCCTGTGTCTGGATGCGATTCTGGGATTTTTTTTTGTCATCCACACAAATTAAAAATGAATAGAAAGAAGAAATATAAACAAAAATGCCAATATCTTACCACATCAATAAAACAACAGGAAATATACAAGTCTTCTATGTCCAGGTCTCCAGCTAATACCTGGTTTCCATGAGAACAAGACTGGTGGTATGTTGCTAATCAATTCCAGTAATTGAAAATTATTATTCAACCCATGGGAAGAAGATATATATATATATATCCCTCTGATACACAGACATTTCCAGATTTAAACAATGTGAGAACTTGGCACAGGCAACACCACTTTGTGATTTCAATGTACTACATAGCTTTAGCATTTGTGGAGGTGTTCTTAAAATGCACACCTGATCATTCACATTTGGGGAGCCAGGCAGCAACTTTCTGACCTTTTTCCATCTACACTGACAGTTCCTTGACCTAAGAAGACCAGCAAAGATAATTGCACACACTATATTCTTATTACCACTACTGTTAGTAGTATCAAAATCCATTTTGTATATTAGTAAAAAATAGATAAAAGAGATTTTGGTATAGGAACCCGACTTCTATTTCAAATCTCAACTTCAAACCCCCTCCTCTGTTAAAATTTTAAGTTCTGGAGGTCAATTCTGTGAGATTCACTGGCCCAGGTAGGGGGGTCAAGACTGAGCATAAGACCATGCCAAGGAGCCCTGGGAACTTGCAGGACTCTGAAAGCCACTGAAGCCCCCTGGTGCCACAGTGCTGGCCAGGAGTCCGCGAAGTGGGGCTAGGGTAGGGCTTCTGTGTTAGGGCCGGCGGCACGCTCGCCCTGCGCGACCTCTGTCCTGCCATAGGGGCTCCTGTGTCGCTGGCGGGGCGTACTCACCTCAGGTTCCGCAGGACCATGTTCCACCAGGTGGCCACATAGTCGCAGGCTGGGGGCCCAGGAGCCGCGTCCGCCTCGCAGTCCTGAGAGTCCATCGCGTGCTGTGCCGTGTCCCGAACTGTCGCCACCGCCACAGCCACCCACGCGGGAACTGCCACCCAGAGTCGCCGCTCAGGTCCGCCCCACCCCTGCGGCGCCCACGCCTGCCCTTCTTCCAGGCGCCAGGCCGACGGCGGCGAGGGGTGCTCTGCAGCGTGATGCTGCGGGAGGCGCTGGACCCGCCGCAGGAGCCAGGGGCCGCCTGCGAGTGGGCTTCTGCCTGGCACAGCGTGCTCCCTGCTTCCCCCATACACAGATAGATGTTCAATAGAAACAAAAGTATCCTAAGTGAAGCTTTGCAGCATTTCATTTTTATTTGATTCCCATTATACCTCCGTGTGCACGCAGGAGCAAGAGGCCTGCGTGAAGTAATATTATGGCAGAACTCAAACATTTAATAGGCACAGAGTTAAAAGATCTTCATATCATTACTGTAGCAAGAATTTCTTTGGCATCCTTTGGTTGAGCAATGTTTGATCTGTCCATTGGGTTATGAACTACAGTTATTCCAGGTATCCAAAGACAAAATATTTTGGTTGTTTTGTTTATTTAGCATTATAAAACAGAACTCCATTTTTGTTCACACCTTATAATGGTTAGCACCTGGTACAGATTTGCATTGCATAATTTTCTCCTAGGAGCAGGGATTATGAGTCTTCCAGAACTGCTCCAGGGAAGCCACAGGGCACAAGTGTGGAGATAAAAGGGAAGAAAAGAGATGCAATTTGATGCCAGCCAGCATCAAGGCTTTGTCTTGGATGAAGACGCATCCTTGGTGCAGCATCACCAGAGGTGAAGTGCGATTTTCTGTGGTGCCTGCTCTGTTTGGGCAGAGGACAGAGCAGGAGACTGCTAGCCCCCAGAAGGTGGGTGCATAGGGACCCATCTGCTAGGGGATCATTGAATAATGTGGAGGAAAAGACACAATTTTCAAGAAGGGTTCTTTTTGAGAACTAGACCATTTCATAGAACTGGCCAGACAGAAGGAGATTGTGTTCACTGCCTCTTACAACACTTCGCGGAATGTTTGTTTCCTGATTCTCATCAAGACACAACAAGAACCCATCAAGAAGGACCAATGGAATCTCAGCCTGATTGATGAGGCAGCTGCAAGTGAGTTTTCACAGGGCTACTCCCTGCATGATGAGAAAGGTTCAAGCAGATGTCTGATTCCACTCCAGGAGTTGGTTCTAAAGATGGTCTGGAATCTCACAGAACTTGTTCAGGGAAGCTCTGGATAAGACTCTAGGCCTTTCTTGCCTTATGAAAATGAAGGGACCAGAGATGGCTAGCAGAGGGAAAAGAGAAAAGCAGCCAGAATGGCCCCAGATTCTATTTCCATCTGTTTAGGTTGAGAGAATAGAAGCCTGCCTGCTAATTGAGGCCACAAAGTTGTGAACATATGCCCAATTTCTAGGGATACCTTGAAATGATCAACCAAATCTTGGAAGCTGAAAAATCACTTTCTGCCATTTTTTATAACATCATGAGAATTAAGGATCAGGAAGAGGCTTTCCCACCATAGGTAATTTCTTTGGGTGGAAAGGGAAAATCAGAGAGCAGTCTCCAATATGATTGGGCAGAATCTAAGACAAAAAAAAGTTCATTCATTTATTAAGCACCTATAGACAGAGTGTCTTTTAGATGTCAGGTACCATATTGGATTCCCTAGGGATACACACCAGGATCCCATCTGTAGAGACTAACCTTAGAATGAAGCATGAACTAGGTTTGATTCCACATGCCTGTAATCCTAGTCACTCTGGAAGCTGGGAAAGCTGGGACAAGAGGATCACAAGTTCAAGGCCAACCTCAGCAACTTAGGGAGACTCTCAGCAACTTGGTGGGAGCCTGTCTCATGATAAAAAAGAAGGACCGGGGATGTAGCACAATGTCAAAAAACAAACAGGAGAAAAATGCCCTGAGGAAATACAATCAGGGATTGAAGATGGAAAAGGGGAGTTAACTACAATAGAGTATGCCAGAACATTTTAGGATAATGGAAACTGACTTAGGCTCTGCAGTGGTTACATGACTATAAATGCTCACTGAAATTCATGAAACTGGAAACTTTTCAAGTGTGAAATGGCTGAATATGAATTATATATCAACAAACATGACCTTGTTTTAGTGATGCTGGAGGTCAAATGCTAGGGATTAAACCCAGGTCCTCACACATGCTAGGTGAACACTCTACCATTGACATTTAGAAAAGTGACCTAAGAAACATACAGATAAACCAGGTGCAGTAGCATACACCTATATTCCCAGTGACTTGAGAGGCTGAGGCAAGAGGATCCCAAGTTGAAAGTCAGCCTCAAAAACTTATGCCCTAAGCAACTTAGTGAGATCCTGTCTCAAAATAAAAAATAATAATAATAAAAAGGATTGGTAATGTAGCTCAGTGGTTAAACATCCAAAACATCCATAAATTCAATCTCTGATACAAAAAAAAAAGGAAAGAAAGAAAAGAAATACTCAGATAAACCACATAAATGAGCGTATCCTATGCTACACTGTGTAAATGTTTAAACAAAGTCACTGGTACAATATATCAGAAATCAAGAGTTTAGCTATTATTTGAACTAGTAGAAAAAGAAATCTCAATTGGAAATAGGTTAATCTTGCCACCTAAAATTATTCTGTAATAAAAGAAATGGAGGATAAGAGTGATGGTCTCTCAGCTGCCACACAGCTGTGGAGGTAAACAGCTGGTGACAAAGCATTTCGACTGAAGAACCAGAAAATTGACAAATTGCTAATTTTCTGTTACTTGGAGAATAATAATAGAAAATTTCTATCTATCCCCCTTGCATTTTCTTTTCCTTTGAATTCAGTTTTGCTGAGACACAATTCACATACCAAAAAATTTATCCTTTTTTGAGTATAAAACTCAGTAGTTTTACTATATTCAGAGCTGTGCATCCATCATTGTATTTAATTTTAGAACGTTTTCATCACCACAAAAAAAAAAAAAAAAAAAAAAAACACATGCCCATTAGCAGTTACTCACCATGATTCCCTTTTGTCTGCCCTGAGCAACCACTAATCTACCTTCTCTCTCTCTGGATTTGCCTATTCTGGATGTTCTGTATAAATGGAATCACACAATTTGTTGTTTTCCTGTCTGATTTTTTCCCCTTAGCATATTTTCAAGGTTTAACCATGTATAACACTCCAGTCCTTTCATGACTGAATAATGTTCCATTGTATGAATATGGCCAATTGGCTTACCCATTCAACTGCTGATGAACATTTGAGTTGTTTCTACATTTTGCCTATTATAATGCTGCGTAAGTGTACAGGTTTTGTATGGACATATATTTTCATTTCTTTTGAACACATAACTAGTAGTGAAATTTCTGGTTCATACGGGCAATTTTGTGTTAAATTTTTGAGGAGTTGCTAAAATGTTTTCCAAAATGGCTGCACCATTATACAGCCTCACCGTGTAACGTGTAAACTACTGTCTGGCCTTTCCCCTTGTTCTGCTTTTCACCCTTTCTGAGCTTCCCATGCATAAATAGGAAAAGAAAAAAAAAAGGATCTGATGATGTTGAGATTATACAGAAACATTTAAAATAAGTTTAAGAATCGTCCTAGAAGATAGAGAATGACTCATTCGGAACATTTCTTTTTCTGTGTTAAGTTTTTTATTGTCCTTGCCTATATCAGGCCAAATTAAGACTGTTTACTCTTTTTTTTTTTGCATATAACTTTTTATTCTTGTACAACATGAAAAATCAATTTACTTTTTATTTGCTCTTAGTAATTATACATGACAGTATAATGCATTTTGACATATGGAGTATAACTTCCCATTCTTCTGGTTGTACATGATGCGAAGACCATTTTACTCTAAGAAAGAATGCTAGATTATTCTTGTGTACAATTGAGAATGTTAATATGGCTTCCTTTTAGCAAAAAAAAAAAAAAAAGTGATTTCTTTGAGAAGAACAAGTGATGAGATCATGGGTTTCTTTCAGTTAATACTGAAAGGGCTCAAAAGTCCTCTTTCTTCCAAAGAAGCCTCCACATTCCAAGGCATGGCCCATGGCTTCCCTTGCTATTCCATGGTAATGGATGGGACTCAGTTTTTCTAATATCAGTGGAAGGACTGAGCCAGGATTAAAACCCAGGGTTACCATCTCCTCTTACCTTTCTAGTTGCTCTTTTTCCTGCTATTCCTTAGAAGTTAGTTATTCTGGGGCTGTGGTGTAGCTCAGGGGCACAGTGTGTCCTTAGCATACACAAGGCCCTGGGCTCCATCCTCAGCACATGCACATGTGTGCCTGTGCGCACACACACACATATATACGTGCGCGCGCGCACACACACACACACACACACACACTAGTTATTCTCCAGGGTTTCTTTCTAGCCCTGCCTCTTTTCTTGCATTATTTATACCAGGATTTCTAAAACCATGTTTATTCATTTGGGGTGTTGTAGGATGAATACAGTAAAATATGTTCCTTTGGCTAGGACTTCAGTCTCAAAATCTTCACTTGCCTAGTATTCTTTGGGAATCACCAACAGGGAATATTAGAATGAAACATTTTTCTAAATTCTTTTTCTCTCTCCACTCCTCCAAACTTGTTCCACTTGCAGAATTCCCCAGCTTGAAGAATAACTTCATCACACATCAAGTTTCCTAAACCATTAACTTACTATTCATCCTGATTCTTCTGTTTCCTATAAATCCAGAATTTCCTCTAGATAGAATTGCTATTATATCTTGATGTACTATTTCTTTGAAAAATATTTACCAAGCACTTTATACATAGTATCTAACTTTGGAATCTCACACTCTAGTTGCACAGAAAGGACCTACAGATGTGAAAAGCTACATAATAACCTATGAGTTATCACTAGGTAATAAATAAACATGTTACAAATAATACATATTACCACAGGCTCAACAGGAAACACCTAAAGGCTGAAGAGGTCAGGTAAGGATCCCAGAGAGGTACCATTCTGTTGCTTAGAAACAGCCTCAGAGATAGAAGATAATTCAAAATGGCTTTCCTAAGAGACCTACAGAATGTCAAAATTGGAAAATATACAAGCAATCATTTACAAAGGAAACTGAGACTCAAACCAACTGATGAAAGATGAGTCCCATTCATTCAGTACTTACTGAGTGCCCACTATATGCAAGGTTCAGCATGGGCTACACTCATTCAGCAGAGCAGGCAAGATGAGACTGATCATCAAAGAGCATCAGAACCTGGCAAGAAAGTAACCTGCTGACAAAACATCCCCAAGAGCAGGGCAATAACAGAATGGTGGGGGGCCCAACAGGTGATTGTAAACTGGGTTACTAGTTCTTCAGCTTACCCTCAAAAATAGCAGGGCTGGGGTTGTAGCTCAGTGAGGGGCTGGGGTTGTAGCAC